CCACGACAGGCCCACGCGCAGCATCGGCTTCTTTGCACATCTGTGAATGTTTTGTGTAATGTGCGTGCGTGTGAGTGTGCATACAAATGAAAGAACAATTTTGCGGTGTGAAATTAGCAGTGACTGAGAATTTCTTCAAGAACTAGGATAATTTCTATAAACTTTAGCCCTTTTACCAGAATCAACCATTTACTATTTCAAGCCGACATATATGTTTATTATAGGAAATTATTGTTATTATTTACCTGCTAGCTACCAGAAACACCTATAGGTACGTATGTTGGTGTATAGAAGTGCGAGGTAATAAACCGCTGAGGCCGGGGATAGCAAGGCACCAGAATAGAGAGTTCTCCATCTTGTTCGGTCTGGGTTCCTTTGCTCGGAAGTGAGACTGATCGGAAGGCGTGAGAATTGCTGACGTTGCTTAGACAAAATCGTAGACTAAGAACTGTGTATTTTCTACCCAGAATATGTCGTAAGTGTTCGATGATGCATTTGTCGTTTGCTCATGATCTCGTACCAGAAATAATGACAGTTGGACTTACATTCTTGGAATACGGATAACGTGACGCAGAAAGCTGTTGTTATAGACATACGACATGGCCTGCTACCAAATACGTCAACGGCCATTTATTACTAGTTATCAAAGATTATCACAATCTGGACACGTTTTGGAACTGCCGTTAATAATCTCTCATGACCGATAAATATTTTGCTGCACCAGTTTACATTTCATGTCGCCCACTCACATCTTTGTACACAGCCTGCAAAACAGTATATTCTCAACTTTTGATCACTTAATGAAGTTGGAGCAGACTTTTCATTGATTTTTTGGGATTCTGGACGTTGTTTGTTTTCCCCCGTATCTGCCCCAATATTTTATGGGAGCTGTGTATGTGACACTAAAGAACTGTGGCTCCAGTCGGTTATTTTGTGGTTTTGACAGCAGATGCGTCGTCGGGGTGGATGCACCCGTCTTTATTAGAAATGTATGAATGGGTAGGAAGTGAGGTTATGGTTACGTAGGAAGGTTACCAGTGTTCAACACCCCAGTTACTCAGTGAATCGTGCTGAGGGGCCGAGCGGCGAAGTGAAAATTGTGTTAGTTATTATATTCATTCGATGTAATATGTCAAGATACGTCTCTTTTAATGGCCTGTTATTACTTACATGTAGACATCTGCAATTAATGTGAGCTTTTATAAATGCAGGTATGGAATCAACATTCTGTGAAATTATTTTTCAAGCCCTCATGAAGGTTGTTTTGAAGAATGTAATGAATACTATTAATGTTATGACAGCATAAAAGTGTATTGTTTAGGAATGACATGATAGGTTCTTGTGAGTGTGGTAATGAACCTTCAGGCTCCATTAAATGTGAATTTCTTCCATCCATCCATCTTTATTACATTCCATGGATCCATAAGTTAGTCAGATGAAAATAGGATGTAGAATAAGTCATAATAATGCAATACATGTTATACAAATACAAGTCATACTATTATATAAATGTCACATAATACAAACAAAGGGTTCACATAAAGTAGAGATAAGTTACAAATAAATCCACCCATTATATGCAATTGATAAATTATGACTTACTTGTAAACATTAGAAATTCATTGACAGAGTAAAAGGGGTGTGTAATTAAGTATCTTTTTAATGCTACTTTAAATTGTGCCTTTTTATTTACAAGATTTGTGAGACTTGATGGTAGACTGTTGAAAATTTTGATCCCTGCATAATATGCACACTTCTGAAAAAAAAGAGAGGTTGGCAATTGGTCTATGAAGCTGATTTTTATTCCTTGTGTTGACACTGTGTATAGCCAAACATACCATGAGCTTCTCAAGAATGACTCTGCATCATGGAATAAGTTATTTGGGAATTCCTTGAATATACAGACAGTAATCAGTATGAGATTATATGGATTTCAATTATTTTCTGCATTTATATTACTACTGTAGAACTTTACAAAATGAAACATTTTTTCTGTACATTTGCATGGGATATGTTGCAGGGGCTCCCTATGACGTGACGGTGAAGCGGCAGGATGCAAGGAATGAAGCTTCTGGTGCTAACACTGAGCCTGTGGCAGGTGGTAGTGATACAAGTAGCTGCCAGCATAGTCCGAACTTTCAATGATGAGACCGGCACTGAACGCTTCAATCATCTGGTGGTGGATAAGAACACGGGTCGAGTATTTATAGGAGCTGTGAATCGCTTATATCAGCTTTCTCCTGATGTGGAGCTTGTCATGAGTGAGGTGACTGGACCCCGGGATGATTCTCCAGAATGCTCTACATTGGACTGCCCGGCCACCGTTCTCAAGAAACCGACCGACAACGTCAACAAAGCTCTTGTGATCGACTACACAACTACAAGGTTAATATCCTGTGGAAGTGTGTTCCAAGGCATCTGCTCAGTGAGGAATCTGCACAACATTTCTGATGTGGCTCAAGTGGTCAGAGAAGCCGTCGTTGCAAACAACTCCACGGCTTCCACAGTAGCGTTCATTGCTCCAGGGCCTCCGAACCCACCCGTGACACAAGTGATGTATGTTGGTGTTACTTACACTGGAAATTCTCCATACAGGTCTGAGGTGCCTGCCGTTTCATCAAGAAGCCTTGATCGCGATAAGATGTTCATGATTGCCGAGACGGCCGTGACCACTGGAACTCGCATGTTCGTCAATTCTCTAGCGAGGGAACGCTATCCCATCAATTACGTTTATGGTTTTAGTTCTGAAGGATTCAGTTATTTCCTTACCATCCAGATGCGACATACCATTCCATCACCGTTCATTTCCAAATTGGTGCGTGTTTGTCACGACGACGAGAACTATTATTCATACACAGAAATTCCAATTGACTGTATCAGTGAAGGTGCCAAGAGGTATAATCTTGTGCAGGCGGCTTATGTGGGCAAACCAGGATCCGATTTGGCTGCTGACTTAGGAATTACGGCCCAGGACGACGTTTTGTTTGCCGTGTTTTCTGAGAGTGTCCAGTCTGAGGGTGAAGTGTCGAGCAAGCCTAGTTCGTACAGTGCACTCTGCGTGTATTCTCTAAAGGCAATCCGACGCAAGTTCATGCAGAATGTGAAGACGTGTTTCAGTGGGATGGGCAGCCGAGGTTTGGACTTCATATCTCCTAGTCATCCGTGTGTGCTTACGGTAAGTAAAAACTCATTCGTTGATGATATTTGAAAGTTGTTACATATGTAAGTCAAGGTTCAGTATCCTGGTGGCAGATCACCGTCATGTCTACAGATTTTGAAGATTTCCGTCTTCTGGGTTGTTGCGCTGTGTAGTCTGGTCGATGTTTACCAACGTTTCAGAGGTGCTTGCTGCCTCTGTCATCAGGGCGATGAGTATGAAGATTTCTGTCTTCTGGGTTGTTGCACTGTGTAGTCTGGTCGATGTTAACCAACGTTTCAGAGGTCACACTGCGATTTTGTTGTGGCATCTAGTATTTATGAGATTACAGCAGACTCCTGATTATTTGGGGACAGATTAATTGGGCTGTAGATTAACGGGGACTCTCTGGTTTAAACAGAAATTAAAAATCAGTAAAGCAAATCTGTTGTGCAAGTTAGAATGTTAGAAAAGGAATAAATATAAGTTATATATTATTTAACATAAATCAGTTGGTAAAACCTGAAGTTTTTTAACAATAGAATGTTATTACTACTCATTGGAATATTTTTTAAAAGCAGTCTTCTTCTTTTTCTTCCATGTTCAAAACTTGTTCATTCTAAAAACAGTATGTATTTTATTAAATTTAACTAAAATCCTTTGTTATTAGTAAATCTTTAAACATGTAAATTTCATGTCTGTAAATAGACATTTGTGTTTTTTTTTTTTTTTAAATTATCGTGGGTTTTGTTCATCTGGAAACATGTATTTCCCAACCAACCTGGATAATTGAGAGTCTGCTGCAATTATTTTTAGTGTTTCTGGTTTCTGCATATTTGAAAATCCCAGCTCGACCACAGAACTATTCATCTCTGGCAGTGAACTGTTTGAATACCAAAATCTGTGTTTCGTGATCATATGCAGTCATAAGTATTGACATTGAATGGTGGATATTTCATTTGCTGTGCCTTCGGGTGGCACTGAGTTTGGTCCATAAAGTAAACATGCAGAGTGGATTAATATTTTTTAGTAAATATAGGAACATTGAAACGCGCGACAATGGTTAGGAGACTGTATTTGAAGGTCTGATGAATTGTTTTGGTTTCCAGTAGAAAGAAGAAATTTACTTTCTTTGCTTGAAAGTGAAACGTTTTATTTAATGATGCTGTTAGTAGCTCAGATAGTACAGTTTTGTCTGATAGGACGGTTAATGAACATGTATTGGTAGAAATCACTTGTGATGCAGTGTGTGGTATGATCCTGGCATCTTCTTGGAGATACTGAGGAAAACCAGAAAAACTTCAGTCACAATAGTTTGTCGTCAGGCTTAGGTTTGATCCCGGATTCTTCTGAATATAAAGGAGGAAGTTACCCGCTTGGACGTGGTGTTCAGTAGCTCGTGTGAAATATTCCAGTGTTCTGCGTGCATTAAAATGTCCTCCATTAAAGATGTAAATTCATGCAGTGATGTCTTTTTTGGGAAATAGAGATGCTCTTTGGATATTTTCATTTAGTTTTTCAAAAATCAGGCGATGGTCTATTTTGCCGTCTTAAACGTAGTGAAGGTCGGAGGAGAAGGCCTCCAGATACAGAGGGTAGCTGCGAATAAATTGAAAAAGCAGTTGTGGACAGCTGGCAAGGGGTGGCCCTCCAACTCCTCATTGTAAAAATAATAAATTGTTACAAAATGTTACACGTGGCCTCAGACTGGGACAGATTCTTTGGAATGACCCAAGTGAAGGAAATTTGGCATGAGGTTTGGCTTATGGAATGTCTGTACAGGGCAGTTGCAAGGGAATTAGCAATTTGTAGGTTAGATTTAATGGGAGTATAGGACGTCAGATGGGGACAGGTGTGGCACTGTACCAGCAGGAAATAATAATAACTTTTTCCAGTGGAAAGAGGAATGAGAATCATGAATTTGGGACAGGATTTTTTTGAACATAAGAGAATTATATCGCCAGTTAAGAGGGTAATGTTTGTAAGAGGCTGTTGGTGCTTTATTACTGTTGTGAATATGTATGCCGCAATGAATGATAAAACTAATGATACAGGGGATAATTTCTGTAAGGAACTGGTGCATGTATTCAATAAATTCCTGAAGTACCACATGAAAACTTTGTTAGATTTTTATTGCCGGAGTAGGTAGTGAAGATATTTCCAAATCAACAGTCTGGAACAGTAATTTACATGAAATCAGTAATGATAATGGGGTTCAGTAGTAAACTTTGCCACATCCAAAAATCTAATTGTCAAGAGAACAATGTTCCCACATTGTAGCATTCATAAATCGACTCGGACATCTGATGGAAAGCTGCACAATCAGATTGACCATATTTTTATAGCTAGGAGATGCCATTCAAGTGTACTTGATGTCTGATCTTTCAGGGGAGTGGTGTGTGATACCGATCACTATCTATTGGTCGCAGGAGTTAGAGAGAGACTGGCAGTAAGTAAAGCAATGCAGAAGTCTGATATGGAGACATTCAATCTCAGGGAACTTAACGACGTAGAGGGTAAAGAATAGTATCGGGTTAAAATTTCAAACAGGTTGGTAGCTCTGGAAAACTTAGATGATGATGCAGACATCAACAGAGATTGGGAAATCGTGAGAGAGAACATCAAAATTTTAGCGATGGAGAGCCTAGGTTATTACGAAATAAATGGAGATAATCTGAATAATGTTTGACGTGAAGCTAGTGAACATTTCAGGAACAAAAAGGGAATATCTGAAAGACAAAATTAATGAGTTTGCAAGAACAAGAGCGTTTGAGACTTGTACAGAGGTATAAATGAATTTAAGAAGAAACTTGGTAAAGGATGAGAATGGTCATCTGCAGGGTCTTTGGTGGGCAAACCAGAAGGAAAGAGACTACTAGAAAGACCTAGATGTAGGTGGGAGGTTAATATTAAAATGGATCTTAGTAGAAATGGGGTGGGGTAATGTGGGTTTTTTGTGTTTTTACACAAATTATTTTATAAAATTCTATTTTTATATGTTGAGTTGCAGCCATTAATTTATGTGTTTCATACAAGGGATTTCAGAAGCAGCTGCTGTGTTTCATAATCAATTGGGTGGCTTTTATTTTGTGGAACTGGGGTTGTGGCTTGGCTCTCTCATGTTTGTGGTCACGCACTGTGGATATTGATGGTCCAACTTTGATTTTCCAGCTTCCTGCTGTGAATACCATTTTGATGTGGATTTGTGTCATACTGTTAATCCATTTTAAGAGTTACATGTGATGTAGACATTTGCTGTTCAATTTTGATATTCATTTGTATTTGTAATACAATGTAGGGTTTGATTATATTGATTTTTTTTTTTTTACAGATTTTCTAAGTAGATCAGTACATTGAGGGGGTATAGGTTGTTGTTTTTAATGTGACGAATAAATATAATTAGGTCAGGTTTGTCAGTTTGGTAACTATGTGATAGTCATCATCACCATTATTTTTGTCGTCATGTCTTATTCTTCGTCTTCAGGTGGCCGTCTTCTGTTTTGTGTTGTCGTGTAGTCTTGTAGAAGTTTACCAACATTTCAGAGGTCCTTGCTGCCTACATTATCATGGTACCCACACATCTGTGTTTAGGCCCAGATGTGATGTAACTCGACTCGGGGGTGGCATCCTATGGCCTATATGCAAACTGCGTGTGTGTGTGTGGGGGGGGGATAAAGTAAGTTTCTTGTACACCTTTCTTCAGCAAAATGGAACATATTTTTGTGGTTCACTTACTTGCAAGTCCACTTTGAATTCTAAAATTTCACAGCCTGATTTTTAAGACTAGTTATCATTTGGTTTTCTTCTCCGACTGCAGCGGCAATACCTCGGAGCATACCATGGCGACTGTCATTCCGCTCTTGTTTGCAGCCATTTTGGTATTACTGGCTCTGAAATCTGTAAGTCTTACAACAAAATTGGGAGAGAAAGGACTAGAAACCATTACATTGCTTGGAATATATGAAACTTGAAATGTCGGAGAATGGAGTATACAGCTGTGAATGCAGTCTCATTAAAATAAATTGGGCTGAATATTTTATGGCTTGTATTTTTAAAGGTCACAAATCAAAATATAGGCTGGCTAGCCTGTTTTTTTGTGAGATATGTCTAGATTCCTCTAGTTAGATGTGTGTGTGTGTAAGTTTAAAGGTGGTTAATTTCTACGTATATTATCATCACCGTTATTTGAAATGATAATGTTTGGTGGTTGTACCGAAGATACGGACATTCTGAAGTTCAGCGTAAAATGCAAAGGCATTGAACTGGAAATGATTTTATGGTGACATGACTGTAGTTAAGTGCAGGTGTCCATACTCCTTTTTATTTTTTTGCTATTGTTTTTTCTTTATAATTTCATGTTTTGTGGTATTTCAGACATGTCTAGTGATATTTGAATTTCTGAAGAACGGTGAAATTATTTGTGTGACATTCTGCGTTGCTTTCACAAGAAAGGAGTTTTAGCTTCCTTTTTCCTGTGTGAGGTGTCCTAACGACTCCATCTTATTTTGGTGCAATGGCCTCAGAAGAATCAATGGCAAATTTAAGAAATTTCGAAGAGTTTTGATTACTTACAATAAAATTATGATGTTTCGGAGAAACATACATGCGATGTGGATGCCTGATGCATTCTCATCCTCGGTATACAGCATTTCGATTTAGAGTTTATTTTAGTCGTCATTCATTGCACAGGAAACATTCTGGTTCATGTCCTATGTGTTGGAAGTAGTTGTAACTTCATTAAAGTAGAAGGATACAGAATGCCAGTAAATAATGAAGTCCAGGGGAGGGGGGCACATCATGAGGGGAATAACACCAGTGCTATAGACATTGTGACTCGAAAATGGTATTTATGTATTTCCTACGAGCGTATAAATGCAACAAAGTGTAATCAAAATGTCAGCGGTTGTTATCGTAGATTTCGAATGTGACTGAGGACAGTTAAGTTCTTGTGGAATGAGACACCGTGTAAGTCTTGTAGGTAGAACGTCGGAGGATATGTCCGGGAAGACTACAGACATTTTTTTTATCATATATATATA